CTGATACCGGTCTGGTCCAATGCTGGTCTGATACCGGTCTGATACCGGTCTGGTCCAATGCTGGTCTGATACCGGTCCGATACCGGTCCGGTCCGATACCGGTCTGATACCGGTCCGGTGAGATACCGGTCCGGTCCGGTCGTGGGAGGAGCCTCACCCGTTCCTGCGTGCCAAACTTGCCGTCGGCCACCAGGTGAACCTCGTAGGTGAAGTTCATGCTCATGGCCAGCTTGATGAGCAGGTCGATGCAGAAACCGTAGCAACACTGAGGAACGATGGGCTGACCTGCAGAACCAGAACCACATCACCACCAGAACCGCCTGGACGGCTGCCAGCAGAACCCGTCGAGAGGTTCTGGCTCCAGGTGTGTTTGTACCTGGGATGGTCCCGTTGGGTCCGGTACAGATCACCTTCTTGATCACAACTCCGTTCACCGTGTGCTCCTGCTGGCACGTCCCGTCGCTCTGCGTCGGCTTCACGTAAACAAACGGCTCCTGGTGGATCGTCACTATCTGCAAACAGCGACCCAAACCGGGTCAGAACCAGGATGGAGGACCAGAGCTTTCATATTCTTATGGGAACCTACTGCTGTCTACAATGTGGGATCGTAGGGGCCATTGCTCCTTCTGGAGACATTTTCTTGGTCCCCATGAGGGAAATGGTTGTTTTTGGGTTAGTGGTTAACCTAGGTTAACATAAACCTTTACCCGAGGGTTAGGGAGAAGTTAAGGTCAGGGTCAGGCATGTGAGGGAAAAGGTTAGGCTGTAGAAATTAATGGAAGTCATTGTGAAGTCCCTACAAGGGATGAAAACACGACTCTGTGTGTGTGTGTGTGTGCAGCACCTTCAGCCTGGTGGACATCTGGTATCCCACTGGTTTCTCCGTCTCTCCTCCAGGCCAGATGATCTTCCTCTGAGGATTCATCACCACCTGCAGAGTGAGGAAGAGGAGGAGGAGGAAGAGCGGCCCGTCTCACTGCGACACACAGAGCGTCTGGCCCCCAGGTGAACTGTACCTGCGTCCCGTTGAACACGCCCACCTGGATGACGCGCCCCGCCTTCTGGTGGTTCAGGATGCTGTAGGTGGCGAAGCGGCGGTCGCCGTCGTCGTTAAACTCGATTCGTCCCGTCAGGCCGTCCGGGTACTTCGATGCCATCAGCACCCTAACGAGCCAATCAGAGAGCAGAACAGCGCGTTCTTCAAGTCAGTGAAGCTGAATAACGGCGATGCGTTTGGAGGCCTGTGAGGAAGAGAATGAAGGGCGACAGGAGCGTTTATGACCCGGTTCTGAACCGCCATCGGACCAGCGAAGCGTCTCTGTTCTCCTCATTTCACCTCCAGCGAACCGAGACGAGCCGCTCTGAGATTACAGCGATCAGAAATCCCACCATGGAGCCGTTCATTAAACGTGACACGGCGAGGCCTTCAGGGGACGGCAGCGAGCGTCCGACGCTCGGCTACCAGCGGACCGAGCCTTCCCGCCCCGCAGCCCGCTAACCCAACTGACTGCAGTAAGGGTTGGCCTGAACAGAACCGCCGTTTGGACCGGCCCGTCGCTCTGCTCCGCCTGGCTGCAGTATCAGTTTACTTGCAGTGCGGAGGACGGAGGACACGTCGTCCTCTTGCCGTCTCCTTCGTCCTCTCCGGTGTGTTGTGAGCTCAGAGGTCGTGTTTCAGTGCTGCTGCCAAAGCTGCTGAAGAGATAAAAGTTCTGGACCATTTCAGAACCAGAACTTGGTAAACAAAAGCTAAAATCAATAGTCATCAATCACAGATTATCAAGTGATGCTGAAGGAGATCCAGTTAATCCCAGAAAGGCCTTCAGGTTGACTTCATTCAGGGAAGATTTGGATCAGAACCTCTCAGGCTGCGTTCACACCAGCCCAGTTTAGCCACTTTAATCCGACTCCAGTCCATTTGTCTAGTCAAAGTCCAGTTCGGTTGGTGAGGTGTGAATGCTAATCGACCTCTGACCTCTGGTCCTCCAGACTTTCAGTCTGGTTCGGTTTCAATATGAATGGCAAGCAGACCGCAGACCGCTCCAAAAGCAGGAAGTGAACTACAGCGCAGGGCATTCTGGGTAAATACACCAAAGCTGGCATGCTAGCCTAGCGCTAGCAGCAGAAACGGCTCCTGGTCTTTAGCCAAAGATGCTAAACTCTGTCGCCTCCATTTTGTTTCCATTTGGTGAAGAAGGAAGTTGCGCTCTTCAGAGTTTTTTGTCGTTCAAGAATGTTCTGTGGTTCTTGGTGCATCACATGTTGAAGTTCTGGTTCCAGTAGAACCGGGTCTACTGGGCCATTAGGAGGGAAACATCTTAAATGTCGGGCCCAACCGTCACGTCTCGGCTAAATAAGGAGGTTTCAGTTTTAAACGTTCTTCTTAAATCAAACTGTAAAACAAAATCATCAGACCCAAAAGCTCGAGGTTAGATTTCCATCAGACATGGAGCAAGTGAGCGGTACCAACCGTTTGAAGAGCGGCCCGGTCCGCCAGATGTTGGTGTTCCCCACGCAGCCCCGCGGCGGCTCCGTGATGTTCTCCTTCTCAAACAGTTCCTGCAGGGACTGAGCCACCACCGCCACGGCGTCCGTGATGTGAGCCGACTCGTTCTTCCCGTTGATCAGCTGGAGGCCCAGCAGGCCTGCAGCGTGCGCGCGCGCACACACACACACACACACACACACACACACACACACACACACACACACACACACACACACACACACACACACACACACACACACACACACACACCATAGGAAGTTAGACTGGATTCACTCTGAACGCTGTCCTCATTCACACACGCTCTGAGACGCACTTTAATCTGAGGTAATTAACTCTGTGTAATTCAGACACACTCTCGGGGCTTCAGGCGTCAGGTCAGTGTTCAGTAACGCCAAACTGCATGCTGGGAGTTCACGCTCACAATCACCACCATTTGTCTCAGGGTAGAAAAGTCCCACTGAGACATTCTGAAGCGTGGCTGGTGATTTCCTTCAGCAGACTCGTCACATCTGTCCTCCAGCTGAGCCTCAGCCGCCAGCTAACACTGTTAGCATCATCAGAGCTAATTTACGACAACCAACTTCCTGTCCGCCGTTCTGGAGGACATCCAGATCAACAACCCAACACTGGTACTAGAGCAAAAAACTGATTTTATTTACGGTTCTCGCTCAGTGATGAGTGACTGGGAGGACTCCTCCTCATTTCATATCAGGTTAGCGTCGGATTCCCTCTTATTTCCTGGATTTATTTTGGACTTTGGTATTTGTTCTTCAAGATTTCCAGAGGGTAATTTTTGTGACATCCCTGAATCTCTGAACAGCTGTTTCACACTAGAACTCTCCTAAACATAATAAAAAGGCAGAGGACAAACTGGAATATGATTTGTTCCCATTGAGACCAGTAAAGATTCAGCCATAACTATTTGTGGGGATCTATAAACAGCTGGACATGCTAACATGCTTACCTTTTTCAATTAAATTAATTCACAGCTAGCTTATCCACTGCACTAACCCCACAACAAATTTTTGCCTTGAATTTAACCCCACCTTCTTACAGTTAAACCTATCAGACTTCAAGTAGAAGCATATACATTTGTCTTGAGAACAGAGAGAACCAGTGCTAGCATTCCCCAACACAAAGTTAGCCTATAAGCAACTACCAAGACATTTTTAGAGACACAATTAATTAACATATGTATTTAGTAAAACCAATTAAACTATATGGACACTTTCTGGTAGAGAATAAAATGGGACAAGCCCATCATGCTAGTATGCTAGCATTTAGTAACACCTAGCTAAACAACTAGCTAAAGTTCAGACAGGACACATTTTTCTTCTACAATAGGCTGATGTAGGTTTTACCAGTCCAACAAACTGGAACTCGTTGTAAAAACTGACTGTAAAAACAGTGACCAATGCTAACACTGCTAGCGGGACGTTGCTAACTTAGCTGATGCAGCAAATGCAGGCCTTTTTCTTTCATAATGTCAAACGAGTCTGTTGAAGAACAGCAGCAGCAAAATCCAAAATGTCACAGTTCAGCCTGGTGGGTTTCTTTTCAGGAAACTGTTTCAGAGCCAGGAGGAATTAATGTCCGAATCTAACAGAAACTGGGAATGAAACCAGTTCGAGACGGTGATCTCTGTGAGGATGAGGAGGCTGAAGACATCATCCTGGCTTTATTACAGCCGACAGCATTGCCCCGTCCTGTCCTTTAAGTACTGCAACCTTCAGTGTCAGAAACAAGTAGGTTCACCATCTTTCAGTTTTCTCCCAACCAGAAAACAATTTATGACTAAAAAATTTGGTTTTCAGCAAGTCTATGAATGAGCTTGGATGACACAGTACATATTACACCATGGCATCATTTACTTAAAGTAACCTGTAGTACCACAACACCACATAGTCCAGACCGGTGACAGAGAGTCGATGGCTGTTCTGCAGCCACAAGACCGGGTCACCTTGCAGTTACACTGAGGTTCCACCAACGATGGAGGAGGTTGTCTTAGTTGCTTGACCAATTGAAAGGTATCGGTTCCATGTCATATCTTCTGTGCTTTTGTTCATCTGAGGTACATATTCAGCACTGCTGATGACCAGATGAGTTTACGTCCCGACTGAAAAGCCCCAACAACTCAAAGACTTGTTTTTATACCATGAAGGAAAGAAAGGTAACTCTAATAAAGAAAGTACCAGGATGTTCAGGACTCTTCAGAACCAGAACAAGATGAGCAACTACAGATTTTGATCTACTGGATCATCTGAAACCCATCCCTGCAGAGAAACCTCCAACCTGCTGAAGCAGAGACAAATGGCACTGAGTGCAGATCAGCAGCACTTTGAGAGAAACTATGAAGGATCTTTCTCATCACATTGACTTCCAATGTAAAGAAAACATCACTTCACTTCTCTGAGTGCAGCAGCCGGTTGGCAAGGATGTTCTCTAGAGCAACTCAAACCACAGCAGGAGAGCAGAGGCCCATTACTCAGAGATCCAGGTCAGGACGTCAAAATGTCCCGGAATCAGGAAGTCAACGGTTCAGGACACCAGGATGTCTTAGGCTCACGGTGTCAGGGTCTCAGAGTATCGGGGTATCAAGGGGTATCATGTATCAGGGTATCATATATTGGGGTGTCAGAGTATGAGGGTATCAGAGTATGAGGATATCAAGGGGTATCAGCGTATCAGGGTATCATGTATCGGGGTATCAGAGTATGAGGGTATCAAGGGGTATCAGCGTATCAGTGCAATGGGTTATCAGACACCGTTTTGTCTGTTTTGTAGGATGAAATCAACAAAACTCAGGGGACGCTTCCATCCTGTCTGAAGGGAACTTTGTTCTTCTGGCTCTCTGAGTAATCAGCTGACTCAATAAGCCCCGCCCCCAGCCACCATGTTGCAGAGGTGGGCGGGGCCTTCATTGACTCCAAGCATCAGGCAGAAAACAGGAAGCAGCAGAGGCATCTTACCCATGTTCGATTGGACACGCGTCACGGTAACCTCAGCAACAAACCCCCCCACACACCTGAACATCAACCCCCCACCCCTCCCATGAATCGGCCCCTGTGATTGGCTCGTGTACTGTGAGAACGGGCAGACGGGTGGGCAGACGACACACACTATAGAAATGAAACAGAAAGATGTTAGACACATTGAAAGCCACAGAAACAACGGAGAACGAGTGGTTGGGAACCTTTAAACACGTCTCCACCGCCGCCGGATGTTTAAACGTTCAACCAGCAGTCAGAAGAACCAGAGACACCAAGAAGCTCAGTGACAGAGAGGAAGAGGAGGAGGACTGGCTTCCTTCATCAGATATCCTCAGCAGAGAGAGGGAGAGAGCAGCTGTGTTTCCATCCAACCCTGGAGCAGCTCAGCAGGAAACACCCAGAGGTGAACCAGCAACCCCCTGATATCAGGAGAAAACGTTTGGAGTTGAGCCAAAGCTCTGACATCCTGCCCGGAGTTTATAAAGCGACTGGCCCTTTAAAGGAAGCTCCTAAGACGTCCACACCTGTCCTGACTCCATCATCTCCTTCCTCAGATGGCAGAGCGCCCAGCTTCTGCACAACCTCGTTCAGTTCTAATCCTGGAGAACCGTCTGACCCTGGAGGACTGGGGCTGTCCACCAGGGTCTGGGACTGACCCTGGAGGACTGGGGCTGTCCTCCAGGGGTCGGTGTCCTGCAGCGCTTAGCCGGGTCTCTGGTTCAACACACCCAAATCAAACGCTCAGCTCGTTAGCAGGACTCTGGGGAGCCTTGAGGCGGTAATTCAGCCTGAGGCGAGTCGGACCTGGAACACGTTTAGGACCTGCAGGACCCCGACTGGGCTTGACCAAACCAGGTCTAACCTGAGCTGTTCCGACCGGTCCAGTCCAGCTGCGGGTCAAAGCTTCAGTTTGAGCGTTGGATGGAAGCAGAGCTGACGACAGAGAGAGAGATGAAGAGGAGGAAGACGAGGAAGGCATTACCATCAGGAGCTTCGCTCAGAGCTTTCCCGCTCATCTCCCGCTCTCCGACCAGCCAGACGTAGCCAGAACCGGTCATGTTGAGCTGCCGGGCCGCTTTGTACACGGCCATGGCTTCATCCTCACTGCAAGCACACAGAGACAGACAGGAAGTTAACCAACACAGACAGGAAGTTAACCAACACAGACAGGAAGCAAGCAAAAACAGACAGGAAGTAAACAAAGAAACAGGAAGTAAACAAAGACAAACAGGAAGTAGAGAAACTGATGTTTTGTGATTTTGCAGACAGTTTCCCTGATGTGGAGGAAACCATCCAACTGTTAGAAGAAGCTCTCCAGCCCATCACTTGCTCCATAAGCTAACCTTAGCATCTTAACATTAGCATCCTTCTAAACATGAACTCTGTTTTTTGGGGAATTTTTATGATGTGGCAAAAGTAAACCACAAGTCTTTAGTTCCTAGTGACCTGAGCCCTGACTGACAGAACCTGAAACCACAAACACATTTTAAATTTCTTCTGAAAATTTCTATCCTCCAAGTAGCATTTGCTTTGCTCCGTTTCTTTGCTTTTGTTAACCGACTCTTTTGGTTAGAAATTAAATTTGAATTTTGATTTTATTTCTCATCAGCCATTGTCAGTGTTCCCATTTTTAGCAAAGTGTTGGTTTGATTTTCAATAAACTCTTAAAATGAGTTCAATCAGCTAAGATGCTGATTGATTTATGATTCCTGATGAGCAGCAGCTCCTACCGGCCTCAGCCTCAGGGTGGCGCTCACCTGGCCGACAGGATGATGACTCGGGCCTCCAGGTCCTTGGCCTCCAGCAGCAGCGCCGTCAGGTTGGTGTCCTGGCTGAACAGCAGCACCTTCTCCGCCTGGAGGACGGCGGCGCCGACGGACCGGGACCAGCGAGGGACAGGGAGAGACACGGCAGAACACCACCACACAACACATCATAGGACAGGAATCATTAGCTCCCGGATCCGCCTCCTTCATGACCAACCCGACCCCCAGCAGCGACCATGCTGCCACGGGAGGAGGACGGAGCAAACAGATGGAGGCAGAACGAGTCAAAGATCTGCTGAACTGAAAGGAAACTCAAAGGCAAAGCCTGAATCAAAATAAGGGAGGGCGTGGTGGCACATGCAAACTGACTCCAACCAACCAACCAATCAGGGACGTGCATGTTAGAGCGCGCTGATGCAACTGCAACTTAAAAAAAGGCTGGAGTGGAGAGAAGGAGGAGCAGGGAGGAGGACAGAGTGGTTCATTTCTCAACAGAAAAGGAGGAGTGAAGGGATCCTGGAGGGCAGAGGTCGTCAGCCAAGCATCAGCCTGGCTGCATGCAACCCTTCACGAGGAAGAGGAGGGAGGGGGGAGGGAGGAAGAGGAAGGGCGTCTCTCCTGGCAGTGCGAACCCATTCTGTGTGCAGGAGTCATGAAAAACCAAATGAAAAGAGATGTGGAGAGAAGACGTGCCACCGGGACAGGAGTCTGTCTCTGGAGCCGGGTTGGGTCTGGGCGGGTGGGCGGGGCTAACTGGTGTCGGCTACTGGGCGAGCTCAGAGATTGGTTGGGCGGCGTGCATCGTTTCACCATGCAAGTTTATACCTTGGGTGTTCTCCTGAAGTCAAAGTTCTGTTGGTCGAGGTTTTCATAGTTCCTGTTTTTAGTCTGACGGTGATGTGCAGAGAAAATATGCAGACAGAGATTATAGACAGCAAAGCATCAACAATGATTCTTCTTCTGCTTCACGACGGAGTCAGAGGCAAACACACCGCAGAGCCTCCGCTGCCCGGCCGAAGGCTCGCCACACTGTCGCCATGGCGACAACATCGGCAATCAGTGCCATATCAGCTGTAATATCTGCCTATTTCCTTCTTTCTTCTGTCTCTCAGCTGTGACCTTTAACCTTTTGGGTGACATCAACAAAATCATAACACTTGAAATACATTAGTCAACCAACCCTGATGTTTCCATGGCGATATGATCACCATATCGATTTACAATCAGAAATAAACGTTCATTGTTGATCAGGTTTGTCTTTATTGTCACGTTTTCTCTGCTGTTCTGCTTCAACGAGGTTCATACTGGTAGTTTTCTGGTTCTGGTTCCGAACCGGACCAAACCAAGTTCTGGCCGAGTTAAAGGAATAGCTCAGATAGTTTAGTTCCTCACCTGCAGCACATCATTTACAGACCACAGGTCCAGCAGGCAGTGGTGGACACCGCTAACAGAACAGCTAGCTCCACTTATGCTAGAGCGCTAATCATAAACATTATCTCTGTTGAGTCTGAAGAGCCATTTCTACATAGTAATGGGTGGAAGCTAATGCTAACGTCGTAAAGAGCTAATGTCTATGTTAAGGAGAATCCGGCTCTCAATACTTGTCATATCTGTAAATTTTTGCCTGTATTTGTTTGTATTCTTCTGCATTTGCTTGTTTTTTCTATTCTTTTTTGCATACTTATATGTAAAGTTTAATTAAAAAACAAAGAAGAGCAGAAATGGACTTGTCGCGTAGACCAGTGTTTCCCAACCCTGGTCCTCAAGGCACACTGTCCTACATGTTTTAGAGGTTTCCCTGATTTAATGTGCCTGACTGATCTGAATGCGGTTCAGGAAACACCAGTTAATCAGTCATTGACTGAAATCAGCTGGGCTGAAGCAAGGAAATACCTAAAACAGTGGTTCTTAACCTGGGTTCGATTGAACCCCAGGGGTTCGGTGAGTCGGTCTCAGGGGTTCGGCGGAGCCTCTGCCGCGGAGGTAAAGACACACTGTGTAAAGTCGTGATGATGCCCCGCTTTGCCATCACTTGAGGCAGAGGATCACGTTACTTTGCTGAGCCAATCAGAGCTGCTGCAGAGGTTCACGTTACATTGCTGAGCCAATCAGAGCTGCGGAGGAGCCCTGATTGAAGGAGCTCCACTCTCAGCATGGATTTGAACTTGTGTCTTTAATTACTTCAGCAAAGCTCACAGTTTTTACCTAATTCTATAGTCTAAATCTGCTCCTTAGTGGCATCTTTTCGGGGCTGCTACGGCCTCTAGTGGCGTGGGGTGGTAACGCAGCTAATATAATTACATTACTAAATCAGAATACTGCAAAGTATTTTTTGTGTCGGCCAGGGGTGGGTAGGGATGGGGGAGGAATAAGATGGGTTCGGTGAATGCGCATATGAAACTGGGGGGTTCGGTACCTCAAAAAAGGTTAAGAACCACTGACCTAAAACATGCAGGGCAGTGAGCCCTGAGGACCAGGGCTGGGAAACACTGGCGTAGACTGACTTCAAAATAAGAGCATTAATATAAACATTTAACTGCTGGAAGAATTCTAATTTCTTCTTTGAAAATTCGGATCTGGAAAATTCATTTCGGGTAAGCTAAGTGTGCTAAACATTTTCAAAGCTAGCAAAAATGCTAAAGCACCAAGTGAAAAATTAGCTCTGCTGTTAGCGGGCTAGCAGGAGCCTGTCCTGGAGGGTCAGCAGTGTTTTCACTGGAGGTTTGGTCTCATGGACATTTCGGGTCCAATCGGAGCCCAAGTAACGGTTTCATCTCCACCGCACCGGAAGCTCAAGTTGTTTCCGATATCTGCTGAAGCTGAGGAAAAGTCTGACTGACCGCTCCATAAAACCTGCATAGCTGCTGGTAAGGTACTGACGGCTCATAAATACTTCACAGAACATCAGTTAGGAAATCTGAGCCAGGCCTCCACCACATTATTCATAATTTACGCCCCTCAGTAACACAACATGAGGTCAATGTTGCTGTATTTGTTCTGCATGAAGAGATCATTTTAAACATCCTGGGGGCATCCGGCCGTCCAATCCGAGCGGAGCTGAGTTTACAGCTGCTGGACCTGCAGGATGTTCCGCGGCTCTCCTGTTCGCTCTCAGGTGTAAATCTCCCTCTGGGTTCTGGCTGCAGGTGTACAGACAGCAGGAATATTTTTAGATGGGCTCACCTGTCAGACTGATTTATAATGAAAACCTTCAGAAGCGATGAGTCGGTCCAAACAGACCTCAGCAGGAAAACTCAGATCCGTCCTGTTAACAAGCTGCGACTTCCAGCCCTGTGATGCTAATGTGCTGCGGCAGGGCAGCGGCGCTTTAGCGCTGCGCTCAGTCCGCCCCAAATGTTCAACTCATTAAGCATGAATCCACACGCCACGCTGCGCGCCACCCAGACATTCCTGCAGCGCTTCCTGCGCCTCCAACTCGGGATGCTAACGGCTTTTAGCTAATAGCTCGGATGTTCATGGCTTGGAGCTAAGTGTGGGATGCTAAGGTAAGGGTGGGATGCTAACGGCTGGGACATTAAGTGTGGGATGCTCATGGCTGGGATGCTCAGGGCTTTTAGCTAATGGCTCGGATGCTCATGGCTGGGAGCTAAGTGTGGGATGCTAATGGCTTTCAGCTAACAGCTTGGATGCTAACAGCTTTTAGCTAACGGCTCGGATGCTCATGGCTGGCAGCTAACAGCTCTGATGCTCATGGCTGGGAGCTAAGTGTGGGGTGCTAACGACATTTAGCTAAAATCTCAGATGCTCATGGCTGGGAGCTAAGTGTGGGATGCTAACAGCTTTTAGCTAACAGCTTGGATGCTAACAGGTCCGTTAGCATCCGATCTGGGTCAAAGGTCATCCGTGCCATATCCGGGTCCCTTTTTCCCCTGAGCGGATGTGTCCGTGTTGCTCACCGACATCAGCCGGAATATTCATCTCCTCTGACCTCCTGACCTTTAACCTCTCAGTCCAGCAGCGCCCCCTGCACTGCCGACTCAATGTCTACCGTAACTGGAGGTCAGATCAGTTAGTCTGACCTCAGCGGGTCGCTGACCTCTTCCTGTCGTACTTCCTGTCGTCAGCGGCGACACAAAGCAGGCGTGACGGACAGCCGGAAGCAGCTGAGGTGTGTTTGCGGCTCTGATCTCCGTCAGAGTCGAGGTGATGAGAAACCAGACAGCAGATGGAGCTGAAGGACTGAAACCATGCCATGAGTCCACAGAGAGAAGAAGAAGAAACCAGCTCAACTCAAATAAGATGAAACAAAGAGTCAAACCTCCACCAAGACTAGCAGGTCCGTGCTCTACCTGGACCCACTGGTCCAGGACAAACCACCAAGTCAAGTCTTTAGACAAACTGGTCTTGATTTGGATCAGCGTGTTCCAGAACAGACAAACTTGAAGTCTAAAAGAAGACAGTACCAGTCAGTACCAATAAGTCCAGAGACAAGACCGGCGTGTCCCTTAGAGACGGTATAAACCCATGAGGTGAGCCACCTGGACCAAGACCAGAACCTGACGGTAATCAGATGTTATGAGTCAGAACCAACAGCTTTAAAGACAACACGGGGATCATCTAGAGTCAGAACAAGGGAATCCTGGACAAGATCAACAGATCTGGACTTTCTGCCATAAAGACCAAAGTTCAGATCATCAGATCAGAGCAAACGCTCCAGACTCAACTCTAGAATGTCTCAATCAAAACCCATAGACCCAGAATCAAGACCAGCAAGTCCAGAAGAACAATCCACCTGTCAAGCTAGTCAGCTCCAGAGAAATCGACTTTCAGCTCAACACCATAACGTCTAGAGTCAACTTCAGGAAGTCTCAGTCCACTCTCAGAGTCCAGGTCTGCACGTCCAGAACCAAAGCCATTCTGTACCAGCTAACATCAACAAATCAAAAAGAAAAGTCTGATGTTCAGAGTGAGAACCAACGGGTTAAGACCGGCAGGTCCAGAGTCCGCCATCAACACCAGGCCAGCCGGGACAGAAGAACCAGCGGCCCTTTCAAAGGAAGGTCCAGTTGGCTCCGGTTCACAGGTAGCCTGAAGTCCAGAGTGATTACCAACAGGTAGTCTAAACCAGAATGAGACGGGTTGGATCCAAATTGTCAAAACCATAGAACATGTTTCGAACATAAAAATTTACAAACAAATATTGTTTTATAAGAGAAACAATAAATACTGACAGGAAAAACACTGCTCCACGAACATTTAATCTGAACATGCATCATGACGCGTTTCTCCGGGTCTGGATCTCAGAATGGATCAGAACTTCAGAAACCAGGAAGAAGGCTGGTGTCACTTCCTGTAGCAGTTCTCTCTCGGAATAACAGCCGAGCCTTATGAAAGCAACCGGACCGCGGCGCTGTCCGACTCGCTCCGTCTCCCTGATCCATGGAAACAAACCGTCAGGTAAACAACCTTGGTGGAGATCAACAGAATCATCCTGAATGAACAGGAAGCTGATGATGGAGAAGCTGAGATGACGCGTCCAGCAGGAAGTCAGGAAGAAGATGGACGGATGAAGGAGCGGTGAAGAACAAGGGAAGATGAGGTATAGATCCATGGATGATAGACGGGTTGAGGCAGAGATGGAGGAATGAAAGAAAACCGTTGGGTTTGATGAAGGCCTCACTCAGCCATGCAGTGGAAACTTCACACACCACGTTTCCATGCTCCGTGAGTAAACACGATTATTTCAGTGGTGGGCACGGTCAGCTAAAGCTACCTGTGCTAACCCTAAAGCACCAATCAGAAACATGAGCTACACTTAAGCGCCATAATGATAATTACCATTACTGACAACCTTACATGATAATTAGCAGAAGCTAACGCTAAAGTGCTATAATAACATGATAATTAGCAGAAGCAGAAGTGCTGAATCCATCCATGTTGATACCCCCATGTGTCCAAGACGCATCATGTGCTACAACCGAGCGTAGCGCCTCATCAAGGTTTCCTCTGTCATTACACTCCTTCCTTCAGGAAGTGATTCTGTGAATCAGACCTTTCACTTGTGGTTTCAGTTTTATAGCTGTTGAGTTTTGCTAACTCTGCTAGCCTGATCAGCCATGGTGGAGCTGAGGATATTAGCATGTGGAGAATAAATTATAACTGAGCTTTTGCAAGTATTTGTTTAGCTAACACGTCTGGTGGTTTGTTGTCTGTGCCTGCTTCGTTCATTTGTTATATACTTGGAAAAAAAAACAGAAAGGCGGGGACAGGAAACAAAACTGAGTAAACAGTCTTCACCCCCTTCAAACTAAAAGTATGAATATAAACATCTTGCTACTTGGAGAACAGCTGATAACCAAAACACAGATATCAAACTTTATTCAGCTGAAAGTTTACAAAACAGCTTTATTTTTCTAGAAAAATTAAATAGAGGGAAGCTGAGCGTTTAGACAGTTAGCCAAGGTGCTAAAATGCTAAGCTAATAATTAGTTCTGATATTAGCAGATTAGCGAAACGGGGCCCACCACTGCCAACTTTGCTCCCAACGCATACCTTCATGTTGACAGAAACATGTGCAGATTTACACGTCTTAATGTGTACATTCACATGTGAACTCCAAGGTACATGTGAAACACAAAGCTACAACAGGAGATGAGCTTCACTGGTAGAACCACCAGCTGGTTGTAATGTCTACAGTTACCACCAGGTGGCGATAAGACTCACAAGGCCAACAGTACAGCCTGGAGTTCAGCCTTACAACCAATCAGGCTGCTGACCCTGATTTGACCCCATGCTGACCCTGATTTGACCCCTTGCTGACCCTGATTTGACCCCATGCTGACCCTGATTTGACCCCATGTGACTGTTAAAAAACAGCTAAATTCACAGCAAATATTGATAAAAATCTGCTTTCACTAAGTCTGTTATGCAGAATCAAAAGAACAAGAAACAGATCGTTCTCCCAGTCGGACTTCTTCGTGAACAGCGGAGAAAAGACCGAAAAGTCGCACAAAGTCGGGTCTGACTTTTAAATTTTTTCAAACACCGAGTGATACTGATGATCTCTGGATAGCTGCACATTTAGGAGTTAGCTCAGTTAATATTTATGCAGTCATTTACTTTAAGCTCCTATTTGGTAGAAATTATTTTCTCACTTTCTTTGGTCCAAACAGCCAAACTTTGCTGATCAGGACTGATTTGCAAAACATGGAAGGAAGTGAAAACGTTTTGCAGGCGATGCAGCTTCACATGTACCTCCACATGCGCATCCAGGTGGGTAATCTGCACATGGCCTCTGTCAACAGATGTGCCACATGGAGCCTGCAGGTGAAGCCGTGACGATGGCGACCGGTTGCCAGGGCGACGCCCAGCACTTTGCTCACCTTGGTCTCCCGCTCCTCCAGCAGCGTCTCCAGCTTCTTCTGGGCGGCTCGGCCCTCGTGGTCGTCGCTGACGATCAGGATGATGTGGTTCCACCTGAACTCCCTCATCAGGTCAAACCACACCTGGGCCTGGTGGGAGTACGGCGGCACCGTCCGCAGGAAGGACAGGTGGATGCTCTGCAGCGGGGAGGAGGAAGAACCCACAGCGGAACGCTAAGAACTCACTTCTCTGAATCCTGAGCCACAAACAGGAGAGGACTGGGAGTACTGGGAGTGATGGGACTACTGGGATGCTCTGACCTGATCTCACCATCAACCGATTCATAAATCTGAGAAAGACTCAGAGTCCAGTTTGCTCCTAGTTCAGGTTAGTGTGTCTTCTTGGTTAAGCCAACCTAAGCTTTTCTGATATGTTCCAGTCCCTCCCAACACACAGTATCTGCTCTGAGGGACACCGGGACTCAGCCGGTGAAACGTGAGAGTGATGCCGCAGCAGGCGGACGCGGCTGACCTTGTCAGAGTAGATGGACATGCGAGTCGTCAGGCCGACCACCGGGATCCGGTAGAACCCGGCCGTGTAGGAGACGGGCGTTGGAGTCAGGTGATCGTTGGACTGCGGAGGATGGCTGACCAGGATGGCGTACACCTGCAGAATAAGAAGAAGAAGAAGAAAAAGGTTTGTTTTAAGACGGAATCTACTGGGGGGAAACTCGGAATCTACTGGGAAACCTGGGAGCAAGAGAACCGAATGTCGGAACCAGAACCGTATCTTTGGGCTCAAAATCAATCATATTTGTAAAATGAATCCTAGCCTTGACATCATAAATTTTGCCTATTTAACCTACTTAATGTTTGGTTTTTTTCAACTTTGCTGTCAGGCAAAGTCCGAGTTGCCCGCAGACATCTGACTCAAGGTGGCTGAGGCTACTGCTAACTAGCCATAGACATCAATACGTAGACGCCTCATGGAGTCCGCCATCTTGTATGTGGCAGCAGAGCGA